GGCACAAGGAATTACTTTCCCAAGTTCCCCCAGCTGGGCTGACAGGCCTTGATCAATGCTTCTCTCCACAGTGAGTGCTATGCAGATGGTCTACCCAGAGCAAGGTTTCTGTGAAGTACAAAGGGAAGTCAAACACCATTTCTAATTCAGCTTGTAGCATGGCACACTTCCTTTATCCTCCGCCTGAATGCGATGAATAGGAGAGCAGTGTGGGAAACTGGAAGGAACTCCAAACTCACACAGTCTGCGTGGTCTGTAAGACACTCCTGTCCTCAAACCACATCTGCCTGTGACAGACAGAGGGGAAAAGAGTGACAGAACGAAAAATCCGATTATAAAAACTGGACGAAGGGAAAATAAACCCTGAGTAAAAGGGGAAAAGTGAAGGAAGCCATGCAGAGAGACAGAAGTTGCAGCGGTCAAACGGGGGATTGCCAAGCAGCAGAGCAAGGAAGGGCTAGGAGGGAACGACAGGGAAAGCGGCTGCGGGAGCAGAATCTTGCTCATCTGCCAGTGAGCCCAAAGAAAATCGCCCCAGTGGAGGTGGCAGAGGTGGTTTTGGCCCACACTAAGACTTCTGAGACACATATTTTATTTGCCTCTTTAATTCCCCAGATTTTTTTAATATGTCCCAGGAAACACAGACCCTTACTATTAGTCAGGGTCTGTACCTGACTGATGTTTGCAACAAACAACAGTTCCGTGCAGGTCCCGTCCAGGCAGCCTTCACTGTAGTTTTGCGGTGGGATTTTTTGCACCTCTTTGCTGCACGGTGCTGAGGGAAGAAGATGACTCCTATGGACCATACTTTCGTATGACCCATGTAGAGCTATAGGAGCTGTGCTTGGCTTTTAGGAAAATTAGATCAGATTTTACACCAGTAGTCCTAGGGGGAAGCTTTTCTCTACGTTAATACTTCTAAGCTATTCTGTGTTGCTTGGATGAAGGAGATGGGAAACAATAGACCAGATTCTGGTCTTAGTATTTGGCAGGTGAAAATTCAGGCTCAGATTTTGCTGATTAGGACTTTTGATAAATTCCACTGTAGGTGTAGAGCTAATTTTTATTTCCACAAGTTCACTGGCAATCAGGAAATACCTCTGGAGGTATAAAAGCTGCGGGCCAAATCTAGCAGTGTGCTTCACCCTTCACGGAGCCCGAAGTTTCTGCTGACTTCAGCGAGGATCCGCGTAAGGCCCTTAGGATTGGGCCCATTTTATTTTTCACCTCAGGATGGTCTGTAGGTCTTGGTGCTAACTGATTCCCCTACATTTTGCTGCCTTTCCCGTTCTCTATTCAGAAGCATTGCCCTGTCCCTGCTCCCAATGACTTACTAACATAAAGCTATGGAAGTTTGTGTACTTCTGCGTTTCCCACACCATTTCTTAACTATATTCATTCCTGCCACAAAGGAAGTGTGCCTGTCTACAAACCACATTAGCAACGGTGCTTGCCTCTGCATTGTGTTCAGTGGGAAACCCCGCTCCCAAAAGGCCATCTGGGCAGCACGTATCAGGAGAGAAGCGATGGGAGCAGCGAGCATCTCTCAAGACTTGGGAAAGCAGCAGCAGCTTTAAGTCTTCCTGAAGAGCGAACATCTGGCAGAGGTTTGGGGGAAGGCTATTGCTAACGCCGTGTGTCAAACACGTCACCCACATCCAGTTGTCTTGGGATGCCGGTCAGTTTTCTATGCAACAAGGGTGTATGTTTGGAACCATAGTAGAAGGTGTGTAATTCAGAATTCATTATCCTTAGCGTAAAGTCCACTGACTCTGCTAACTTTATAACAGGGAGGAGTTTTTGTTACCACTTTTCCGTAGGACTTCCAACCAAAGCAGAAGCAGAGGGTCTAATTTGGGTAACTGAACATCTAACTTGAATAACTCTTCCAAGATGGTCAGTAACTGGCTAATTTTTCCCCTCACAGACTGTGAAACCAAAGAGAAAATAAAAAGCTATTTTAAATATATGGTTTTATTACAGATTTTAAAATCCATGTGTGACATAGGGTGAGGAAGTAGGAACCTCAGTGGATTTGCCATCTGGTGGAGATTTTGCTACATTCCACTAGTAATACATTGAATGTTGTAATTTTTGTTATCACACACATCCTAAATATGCGGGGCCTCCAACCTCCATAGTTAAGTGAATTTCTCAAGGCTACAGAAGATTATTTAGGATTCAGCCTGCTCAGTAGCAGGCTTTGGGTCAGTTTGGATCCTAATGGAAAAGAAATTTTGAGCACTGACCCCTTGATTGTGTCAAGTGCACAACCATTACCGCGGTGCGATCAGGCAAAGTGTTGGCACAACTCTCTGCTACTCTTTTTCATTTGGCTTTGGACTGGCCTAATGTGGGGCACCAGAGCTGTTCTGGAATCCCTCCTAGGAAAGCTGATGCTGCCTTTGCTGGACTGTGGGTTTTTTTTGTAAGGGATCTGAGCTCACATTGCTCTGAAATCAGCTCGTAGGTGCTAAACGGGGGGCACAGGCATCAAGGGGCTAGCCACATCCACAGGGCACGAGTCACTGAGCATGGTGTGCCTTCACCTGCTCTCAGGCTCCGGCTCCATCGAGTCAGTGGCAGAGTTTGAGGAAGGAAGGCTTGGGTTGCAGCGACAGTGCCTGACCATGTAATTACTAAACAGCAGGAGAAAATAAAGGTCCATCACGTCTCAAGCACACATAGTAAACAGACATGGAACAGGACTTGATGCTTGGGATCCTGGGAAGAAAACAAAAAAAAAAAAGTTGGCGTTTTTATCCCATACAATTCATTCTGCCAAGAAGGTATATGGAAGTTATTTTCTGGGAGCAAGAAAGGAGATAGAGGTTTTTGTTCTCTTTTAACTTGAGCTAAATGTTATAATAGTGAATGAAGCAAGATTTGTACCAAGACCAAGGAGAGTAAGGTGGTTCAGGCTAGCGTGCCTGTTCCCACGGAGTTCCCTTTGTAATTCCCTGGCTACTGAGTGGGGAAATAAGAGGTTCACGTGTCAGATCCTGCTGTAGCGATGCCAGGTGGAATCAGCAGTGGCAGAGGTGGGCAGCCATGCATCCAGCCTGAGCTGGGTCGGCCGAGGGGCTGCAGGCAGCAGCAGCCACGGCGGGCTCGCACCTCTCCCCCTCACATCTCGGAGCCACTGGGCAAATCCCTGACCCAGCCAGGGCCCGTGAATGTGGCAGAAGAAAGCCAAAGGCAGACCAGGTCGCTCAAGTCCCACATCTGCTCTGCTGCAGTTTTAGCATGGAAAGCTAATTTGTCCTCCCCCAGAATAGAAATCCTGTGATGCAGGAATGCAATAACACCCAGTTTCCTGAGAAGGAGGCTTAGTTTCTTGTTGTCTGCTGTGGGTAATTGCAGGGAAGAGATCCGACACTTTAAACAGCTTTGTTGGACTAAAACTAGAGTGCCTATTTATGTGACTTGTACTGGAAGGGGAAATGATTGCCGTTCTTAGAGCTGCTTATTAGGGCGTTAATCTGGAAAAGAGAAACTGTCTCTAGCAGTACTGCTAGTGGACCCTGCCGATCACGGGACTGGCACATTTCTTCTTCATGTGCCCGATTAACGAGCTCAAGAAGTGAGTTACTGCTCAGGAGTTTCTGTTTCAGAGAATCTTCCCCAAGAGGGATGCACAGAGCGAAAAGATTGGTTTCAGAGGTGGCATTACATGGGCTCAGAGATAATCCACACGCTTTGAGGAGAACATGTGAAATGGTGTCACAAAAGCTTTCCCACAACTTGACATAAAAGACTCCGAGCTCAACAGCTGCTGCTCTGTGCGAAAAGAAGGGAGCCTATTCAGGAGCAGTACAATGGGGAGGGAGAGGCAGATCCTGGAAGAGGTCAGTTAAGCCTTACCTGGTCTTACAAGTGATGAGCTGCAGAGTGAGAGAGCAACGTGTCTGTGTGTCTGTGCACCCACATTAAAAGACACGCATGACCACATACTAATGTATACATGAACACATAGGTAAATGAATGTAAACGCAAACGGTATTTACTTACAACAGCAAGAGATCCCCACACATAAGCCCTAATATTGTCAGTAATTTATCTGATTATTATTATTCCTGTACTGACTCTTACAGAGAAGAGTGTTGAACTGATTAGGCCATGGGAGCAGATCTGGGAGCAGAACCGTGGTTCCAGATGTGTGGTTAATGCTGCTGCCTGCTCGCTTCACCCTTCGTGTAGTAAAACAGGGCAACGTTGCTGCCAGCCTTGCTCCACACAGGCCAGGGGGCATGTCCAGAGGATGCAGAAACGCTCTGCTGCCGTTTAGCTGTTTGTGTGAGGTTAGAGCTCATAAAAACAAGTACTCACACGGGCAGGACCCTGGATAAGTGCAGGTGGATCTGGTTCAAGTTTTCCAACGTGAATCTCTGGCTGTGTCCTTACAGTATACAAATAGCAAGACCCTCAATTCTCCCAGCTGCAGGCACCTATTGAGCACAGACTGTGCATCAGTATAGAAACTGGCCCAGTGGAGAATAATGAGGAGTCAGGAATTTGATTGTCTATAAGTTTATGTGCTATGAAATTTATTTTTCCTGCATTCGGTTTTCCTTTGTGCATAGATTAAATGAAAATAGCTAGAGTAAAATGCGTGTGAGCACGTGAGACTGAACTGATCCCAAACCACTCCGAGATCCCTCTCCTCGTGGATTTAGCTTGCAGGTGTTGGAAAACTGAAATATAAACTGCTTGTGGCATGGCTTGCGCGTGTTCTGAAGAGGTGTGTAAGATACCAAGGGAAGAGGACGAAGATCAAAACAGAAAATGGTTTCAGTAACTGTGTGTACTTACAATTAAAACGTATTTATTTGCAGAAAAGCTGCCTTCTGTTTCACCTGGGCAAAACGGGAGTCACAGTCGCCTGAGGGAGACCAACTGGCTCTGGCTTCCCGAGAGGAGGCGGCGAGTGGATTTGAGGCGATTCTGCTCTTCGTCTGGGCGAGCCAGGAGCCGCTTGGGCGAGCGTGTGCCCGGTGCGTGCCCGGTGCGTGCCCGCAGCCCCGCCAGGAGCCTCCTGCAGCAGTTTCTTTCCCGCCATGGGCAGCTGACCTCCTCCTTCCTCCGCACATGTGAGCCCAGGCCTGCGCCTGGAGTGCTATTGATGGGCGGCATTAGTCAGCAGCCTTTTCCCATCCAAGGGCAGCTCTTTCCCAGCTTCGGACATGGAACTCTGATCCCAGGCTTTCAGGGACCGCACAGTCCCCACCTGCCCATCTGGGAGAAGGTCATTATCCCCGGGCTATTCACTGGCAGCGGAGCATGCAAGAATAGATGCTTCTCCTATTGTGCCGCCCGTCTCCGTGATTGGCTGGGGACTGTGGGAAACTCCACCGAGCCGGAGACCCACAGACTCTCGGGGAGGTTGTACCCTATAAATACGGGGCAGAGGCAGCTTCCAGCAACACCCTTCTCCTGGACGTCCACTCTGAGGCCGTCCCTCCTTTCTCAGGACAGATGGCTCCCAGCACCGTTTTCATGGAGCCCGACAACCTGCTGACGCCAAAGGAGAAAAACAAAGTAAGTCCAGGCCCCGCAAGGCAGCTTCCAGCCGCACTCTCAGCTGCTCTCACAGCGGTTTACGCCAGCTGAGAAACTGGTCTGCATTGTTTGGGAACAGTGATGGGCAACAAACAGTCCTGTGAAGTGTCAGGGGGAAGATCCTTCTAACAATAGGTCTCTTTTCCTTTGCTTTTTGCAGCTGAGGAAGCCGGTGGTGGAGAAAATGCGGCGTGACCGGATTAACAGCAGCATCGAGCAGCTGAAACTGCTGCTGGAGAAGGAGTTTCAGAGACACCAGCCCAACTCCAAGCTGGAGAAAGCCGACATCCTGGAGATGACCGTCAGCTACCTGAAGCAGCAGAGCCAGCTGCAGATGAAGAGTGAGTACTGAATTTTGTTCCAGTCTCTAGCTTACTGCAAATCTGTGACAGTTTTATGACTCTCTAGCCGTGAACAATTGCTCTAAACTATTCTTTCTTCCCCCTCCCTGTTTTCTTCCCATCTCTAGCTGCAGGATCCTTCCATAAAAGCTCTCAGTTTGACTTCAGAGAGGGCTATTCTAGGTGTTTACAAGAAGCTTTCCATTTCCTCTCTCTTCATAAAGTCCGAACTGAAACACAGACCAAACTCTTAAGCCACTTCCAGAAGAGCCAGTCAGCTGCTACGGAGGTCCCCTTTTCCCCTGGGCCCCCCAGCACCCTGAAGCAAGCATCTCCGAAAGACAGCAGTACCCTCTGGAGGCCCTGGTAGTCAGGGGAGTCCTTACTTCACGGACCTTTGCCTCTTACAGTCCAGGGGAAGGATCTGACTGCATCTGCTAGTCCAGCTCTTATCCTCTCTGCTGTAGGGAATTTTATTTCCCCGTGTATTTTATTTATGTGTGAAAAGAATGGCATGCTTTTGACTTTCATGGGATCCTTTGGCAAAAGTTCAGGCATTCCGTTGAGTGGTATCGGAGCTGTGTAGCCACCGCGGAGAACAGTACACAGCGTGCTGCCCAGTCAGGGGGGCCGATGTCTTCAAAATGAAGGAGGGTGTTTTTGTAAATGTTACAGTTGTGACGGACAAGAATTGCCGTAGGAGAGATTTCTCTCATATTGCTTGTAAGAGCCATCAGCTTTGCTCTGGCTTGACTAGCGACGCTTGTTCGCTCAGTCACTCCGGAGGATAAATTTACTACCCTTTAGTTCACACACACTTGATTGAAATCCATTTCCCGCTCTTTGCTTGTAATTTGTACAGCACCAAAGATGGGTTTTGTTTTGGCTTCTTCCCCAGTGACCCTTTCATAGTCCTAGTGATGTGAAGTGTGATGGATGAACAGAAGCTAGGAAACTATGTGGAATATTTCTACTATTTTGCTGCTTTTTTCAATTTAGAAAAAGAGTATGTTACTGCTTTATGTTAAAGAAAAGGTAGTAGGTAAAAGGCTTGATTGGTCAATGTTCTACATTTTGGGTGTAAGCTATGCTTCTTCTAGCATTTTCATTATAATAATGATTTTTGTCTGTATCGAGTGCTTTAATTCATGGTGGATAGTGTTTCTCCCACTGCTGGGACAGCCCTGTGGCTTACATGCATACTGTGTATGCGTCTCTGTGTTTGTAGAGAGCAATAAAATGCATTTGTGTGCAGCTTCTGTCTGGGTTCTCTCCCTCTGAGGGATATGCAGCCACCTGTGGCCCGGAAAAAAAAGACTAATATGTTAGTTTTCTGAAGAAGTGGGATTTTTCGTAAAGTGAAAGGAGCTCATATTCTGCTCTCTATAGTCTCATGACCCCCATCACTTGAGCACCTCACACCCTTAACCCCAAGAAGTGCTCCTGTCACACAGATTCTCCCAGCTGAATCCTGCTGAGCATTCGCTCAGTCACTGCCCCTCCCTCCCACACTAAACCTTCTCACCTGAGCAGCAGAGCCTCGAACCTGGCCATCTCCTCTCCCCGCAGGCACCACCGGGAATTTGAGTCCTTTCACGTTATTTTTTTTTCACCTCATATGAGAGGAAACAGACTCAATCACCGCAGTGCTGTCTACCCTCTAATACCTTCCCACAATTTCTTCCCTGAGAGCACAGAGGGGCAAACAAACCCTCCCGCAGCACCTCGGGGAGGAGCTGTACCGCAGCACGGAGCCGCGGGGTCCGCGCCAAGCGAGTGCTGCCCTGGCAGGGACGCACGCCCTCGGGTAAGACCCTCTGTTGCTGTTGTACCCACCTGACAGAGGCCTCCTGGAGCATCCCTCAGCGGAGTCTGAGGGAGCTGGGCCTGAGCCAGCAGGAAGGTACATCCCTCACATCCCTCCGACACCTCTGGCAGTGCAGCTCTAGGCCCCGGCACCGCCCGCGACCCATCTGCCCTCTGTGCAAGGACGGCTGGAAATAGGCTTGAGGCAGCTGGTTTGTGCCCGGCTTTGCGCAAGGTGGTTTTGCTCTACCAAAGGCAGCTTGCTTAAAACTGCGTTGGGTGTCAGTACAGAAGGAACAGACGCAGAGGCAGAGCAACGAACAGTGCTCTCTATGTATCCTTGGCCTGAGATCACACAGGAAGTTTGTAGTGAAGAAGGAACTCTCCAGCTGAGGCTTTACCTGCCCTCAGCCTATTTTGCCACTAGCTTGCTTCTTTGGCTAGTAACATAGTAAGTCGATCACACTTCATGCTGGTTTAGGCCCTCCCAAAAGCCAGGACCTTGGCTCATGAGAGGGGAGCTGATCTCTCCCCTCAGCAAAAAGGAGTTGTAGAGTAGAAAAAGGATTTGTGGAGAGCCTTCTTTCCTCCAGCAATTACTGAATTGCTGAAGTATATGCTCATAACATTAAAAAGAAAGTCTCTCTTGTTATTGCAAGCATGATTTATTCAGAAACTTCAGGATATTAGTCAGCAGGAATAGCCAAGATCCTCCTCTTGGTTGCATGTCTTAAACAGGCTTTCATGTGCAAAGTCTTTCATGTGGAACACAGGCACTTATGAAACAGCAGTATGGGATTTAAAAAAAGGTAATATCTGTCCTCGACCACAACAGGAAACATCCTTCGTCTGCCCCCTGACCAGGCTCAGCACAAATTCCCTTCCCATGACAATAAACCAACGACGGTAATAAACTAAGTTTGGGCTTGATGAAAAACGTTATCTTTTGAGATAAGAAATGGGATAGTTCTGCCATTTACATATGCAGTTACGGGATGTTTTGGCTAGAAATCACATCTTGCTTGCTTACACAGGTTTTCATTTGTCTGTTGTTAGGACAAGGAGCGATTTGTTCTGCCGTGGTTTGTCACTGCTTTGTCATATATCTGTATACGTGCTTGTTATTGCAACAGGGAATTTGGGGTCTGTCGTAGGAGATAGCATTAAGTGAGAGAATCCCTGGACACTCCTTTACTCTGGGGCTCTTGGCAGTAACTTCGTAAAGCGATGCTTCAATTTCATTTGGGGATTTGAGATGTTACTAGAACGTAAAGAGTCACAGTAATAATGATCTGGTGTTGTTTCTGTTACCCAGTGAACGAATTGGCTTGCGATACAGAGAACTTGCTGGATAAACTTCTGTAGTGATGCAAAACAATCGTCGGAGCATTTAGAACACTAAAAAGTCCTTACTGCAAAACATTCTTTAGACATACACAATTTTTTAACATCGCAGTATGAATACAGTTTTATGAAGCTAAAGCCCTTGCAAATTTTAGAAATGATCTTTACCTTTTTAAATTTTTATTTTAGCCACCAGAGGTCACAGTTACTGTAAGAACTCTCACTTTGGATGAATGAAGGAGTCAGTTCAAGCAGAATTCTAGGCTTTTTCAAGGGTATGCTTCATGTGATTTTGTTTGCTTCATTTCAGTGGCCACATCTCAGATGTCAGTTAGTGCTGGAGACTTTCTAAAATCTTTTCCACCTCCCAGTTTCTCTGTATGACATCGTAATTGTTTGTATGTGGGCAGATGAACAGGGTAACTTGAGGAAGGATAAAACTACGTTTCCCACAGCACCTTTGTAGCTGGTGGATCCTGGTTTAAAAGATGAATGTACGGTCTCATGTACTGGTCTGTACTCTCAAAATACAGACAAGCTGCGTGCAACCTCCTTGCATCAGAGTCCAGATGCACAAGAGTGTTGCTCTTTCTTTAAAGCAGTTAAAGTCTTCAGCCCCAGGCATGAGACATCTGGATGGAAATCTGAGCGTGTAACAATGTGATGGTGATAGAACCGATTTCCATTCTCCAGCCAGAAAAAACCCCACGCAAATCAAAGTCGCCAACCTGTGTCCCGTGAGATATCTGAGTTACAGAAATCTGACACCGTCTTCGGGTGCAGAGCACCCCGGAAATGTTCTGTAGGTGCTGTCCCAGAGCAACCAGGATTAAACTACATAATCCAGCGTTAGATGGAGATTGAATTGAGGCAGATTCAGGATTCCTGATCTGGAATCCCAGCTTTGGACTGGGACCATCCAGAAGGTTCGGACAGGCGCAGATGGAACGGTGGCTCTGGCCCCTGTCGGCTCTGTGACCAAGCCAGAACAATAGGCAATGCGTTAAACAGATGTTCATAAACAGACGTCCTGTTACTTAGCCTTGAACTAATCCCCTCTTATCCTCTGCCCAAGATCTAGGGTTGCTTTTTCGCCCTCTGCCTTCTCTCCTGACAGTGACGACTCAGATTCCAAGCGTGACTGGGGCTCTGCCTTCCACACCTCGCAGTGCCCAGGCAAGGACTCCTCTGTGGGTCTTCCCAAACCTGACACTGGAATCTCTAGTTACAGGATTGCTGTTGTCTTATCTCATAAACCAAATACTCCTGTCACAGGATCTACTGACTACAGTATCATGTGAACTGCACAGCGTGTAATTGCTCAATAAAAATTGCTCAATATTTTGTCCAACTCTATGAGGAAACAGCATGAGCGTTGGCCAGTAGGAATTAAGACATCAGCATAAATTAAGTTGGCTTGTGAAACCCCGCTGTGCAGTCATCCTGGGGCAAGGAGGAGGTAGAGACCTGCAGTAGCAACTTGCAAGAGTTGGTGATTCGGATGCTCACTGGAAAAACACAAGAGCAGGAAAACCATAACCAAGGTGGAACTGATTGCCTGGTCACTCCAGGCTGCTGTGGACCTCATTCGTCTCTGGTGTGTCCAATAGAGATATCTGTTTGTCTCGGTCCCACATTCCCTGCTTGGGGAAACTGGAATGCGCAGTGCTGTGCTGGCGCTGCAAGCAAAACAGGAGCAAAAAAACCAGTGAGACTGACAGGCAACTTCAACCAAACCTAAGAGACAGTTGGAGGTCTCAGGAATATTATTATGTTGACACGAGCTCAGGGAAAATGGGCAACGAGGTAGAGAGGGAGACTCAAATTTGCCAGTTCCTTACGGGAAAGACAGCACCAGGAACTCACCTTTATGGCTGTATACGGAAGGATTCAGAAATGAGAGAAACGGTACGAGTTCTCTGCACCACAAGACAAGCTTTGATCAGAGCTTCTACCCTATCAGGCAGAAAATATTTTGAGTGTGAGACATAAAGCTACAGGAAACTTCTCCTTCTAAGTTCCACTGCTCACAAGCGTATTTGATCACAATAGGAAATGTATCTCTTTTCATTCTCAAACAGGCTGCGTTAAGTCTACTGATTTTTATTTTTTTTTTCTTCCCCCAGGAGAGACGTTTTCACTTAGAGAGCACAGCTGTTGTATTTCAGTCCAAAAAAAGCAAAACAGACTGATGAAATTATAAGCGGTTAAAAAAACTCCTGAAAACATGAGATGATTGCTGCTACCTAAACTCCCTACGCCTTCTACCAATGACAACAAAACTAAGGGATTACACTGGTGGTTTTTAACCTCCTGAGAAGAGATCAAAGGCACAAACGCTCCGGGATACCTCTGGATATTAGCTGTACGCACAGCACCTGCAAAGGTAAAGCCTGGACTAAAGGTGCTGCTGTGGGCATGTGTGAAGGAAGGGACAGGGCTGTGATGGAGGGGGAGAACCAACTCCTCGTAGTTCTAAAAGGCTTCTCTTGGGACTTATTATTCCGTCCATCATGTGAATCAGTATTAAATCGGTTGAAGACAATAGCTCCTGTCCTTCAGGGGTCTAGAGCACCGTTTCCGTGCGTTAACACCCAGGAAAGTCCTTTTGCTTGTGAAGGGCCAGGCACAACCAATCAGTGGTGGTGGGAGCCCGATGGGAGCTGGCATGAATCTACACCAGGCTCAGGGTTTTGATATTCTGAAGTGGTGATGGGAACATGGGGAAAAAAAAACAAACCAACAAACCAAACCAACTTGGTCTGCAGTTAGGGAGACGAGTCAGGAATGACCTGATTACAGGAATAGTGCTGAGCTAAAGACGTACTTCCCACCCAGCCTTTAAGTAGGCCAGCCTGTTGGTCTCCCCAGCCGCTGTTAGATCACAGCGGTAGAGAGCGCTCCTGATTTCTTGCCTAAAAAGTTAGTGCTATAATAGCACTGAACGCTGGTCACAGCCTGAGATGTTTCTAACGGTGAAAATCCTGTCGCAAATGTGATAACACCGATGAATTTTGGCTTGTCAAACCCATCCCAGGGCAAGGCGAGGCAAGCTCCAACCTCACTGTCACATGAGCAGCAGCTGTCCTTTGTCGGAGAAGCGTGATCTGCCGTGTCGAGTGAAACCTGAAGCAGTGGGAAAGAAGTGGTGATGTGTAGGAAACCGAGGCAGGTGCTCTACGGTAAAATCTGTTCATGTCAACAGACTATGTGCGAGCACTCTCCAGCGGAGAAAAGTAAGTAACTCCGTCCCCCAGCCACCAAATTGAGAACCCCCCAAACTCTTATTGTGAAAAGGGGAAGCTTGACGTTCGTATTTCACAATTGTACTTCCCTATTTTTCATGTCTGAAGGAGCTTTCACTTTCTTCCGGCTTGTCTGTCCCAAATAGCCATCAAATTTAGCACAATCACCTGAAAATCAGAGGAAAAACGGAGCAAACGACATGCACCGGCCACACCAGTCAGAGAGAGGGCTGATAACGAGGCCACAGCGTCGCTAGGCTCGTGCTCCGTGTCCCAGGCTGTTGGTCACAGCGTGTGCAGGAGCCGGCCACCCCCGGCAGCTCCAAGGTCATCCCCGCGCCTGACCCGCTACGGGCCACCGCCGCCAGGCAGCGTCCGCCCGCTGACGCAGGACACCGAAAGCACTGCCACCCCCGACACCCGGCTCCCGCAGCTGCCGTCGCTGCTTTGCAGCTGCACAGAGAAATAGGCCGGGGCACGGGGGATTGGGACTAAGGCTCTAGCTGACCCTTCCACTTGCTTGTCAGAATTAATTCTAGCCTCAGCCGCTTCCCGACTGCCATTTGTTTTGTGTGTACTTGTAGTGTGGTGGAATGAGACCGGCAGGAGACGGACCGCTTCTCCCAGCAGCGCTGCTGGCTGGTGCCAGTTAAACTGACTCGGGGGCTCCCGCTGTGCTCGCCCTGAAAACCTGAGGTGTCAGCACAATTATGAAACCCTAATAACAGAGTTTTAAGCTAGCTGCCTCTGCTGCGCAGGCACAGTTGTGGGCTGAAAATACAATCCCTGGCACGTTCTAGCTGAGCTGATTTTAGTCGCTGGAGCAGAGGAGCAGATGTAGCGCTCCCTCCTCTCACAGGTCTGCTTGCCTGCTCGGTGAGAGATTTGCTGCAGTTCTGAACCCATCAAAGGCCTTGGCGAAAAGCTCATCTCTCTGCAATGCTTCCCGTGCTGCGTCCTGCTGCAGGAATGCTGCTCACTCATTTCAGAAGCTAGTGAAGTGTTACCACTTTTTTTTCCCTTCCTTTTTTTTTTTTCTTTTTTTTTTTTTTTTTACTTCAAAAATAGAGAGGTGGGAAAAAAAAAATCTGCATTTAAATAAATTGCTCCCCTGTAGTATTCGAGGAATAGTGACCCATTTCAACAACATTTTTAATATTCATAGCAACAGCTGTTTTTAAATACTGCCTACGCTTCTGGTAATCCAAACATCTGCTGGGAGGTTGAAGCTGACTAAAAACCGTAACTGATTTAGTAATCCAGCTCACCAGTGCTGAAAAAACATACGGGAGGTGCACAAGGAACTTGAACCAACTGTAGTGGCAGACTTGGGCGTTTTGTTTTTCAGTTACATAATTTCTCAGTTGGGCATCCCCAGTATCTTTTTGCAGCGGTTGAATGTTTCTGGGTTGGCCTTGCGTGCGCTCATGAACGCTTTGTCATGCACAGAGATGCCAACGCAGCCCCTAAGTCAGATTTTTGAGGTGTTTACTGACTTCCAGGCCTGGCTCTCTCTCTGCCACAACTTTCACTGGCTGGGAGAGGAGCGAGTCCTGGGGAGCCGTCGGCTCCTGCCCTGCTCGCCGTTCCCTCTCCCACCTCTGGTTTGTTGGGGCAGGGGACCCGGCCTGGGATGAAACAGCACCTGACTCACTTGAGCTTTGTCTTCTCCCTTTTGTTGTGCCAAAAGCAGGGCTCTTCACCCAGAGTGCAAAGAGTCAATTAACACAGAGTCGGGATATTTGTATTACAGTTCTGTGCAGAAAAGGGTGCTGGGCATCCAAAGTGGCCAGCACCCCGAGCTCCAACACGCACTGTATTTATTTGATTCTAAACACAAAAGCGCACACCTCTGCACATAAGTTAGTATTTTATCACAGTACCATCTCAGGGCTAGTTTTAGTCCTCTTTTTCATTCAAAGTCACAGCATCTACCTATTAACTGACATAGGTGTGCTCAAACGGTGAGGGGCTTCATGAACAAGTGGGTAACTTAGGCTGTAGAGGCGTGGTTTTCATATTATAATCAGCTAAATTCACCTAAAGGACAGAAAAAATAGGTCCTTTGTAGAGCACGGTTTCAGGTCACCGTTGTGTTGGTTATAAATCCTAACAATCCTCCTATCCTAGTGTCACCGAGGAGCCGGGATAAAAACTTATCGACACCAGTTTGATGCAGATGAGCAGACATGTCATTATTGACGGCCAGGTGCACGGGGGAGAGCTCTCACCGACAACGCACACCAGTCACAAGGATCATACAGTTCATATATTATTCAGCCATACATATTCATTAGGTATTCATGCATAAACACAAGAATTCCTGGAAATCCTGATCATACTGCCCTCCTACTTCCGATTCTGCGCACTAAAGCTTAGGAATCCCTAGACATGAGTCTGGGGGGGGGTTTGGGTCGGTGGTCGCATCCCCCCTGCCGGAGTTACCCGGTCCCTGGTTCCACTGTTCGCGGCAGAGCTCTGTTCGCGGTTACAGCTCGCCCTCCCCAGGTCTCACCCATCTCAGGTGGTGGTTCATCTGAGACCTTATCCAACGTGTTCTAGGTAATAAATGACTTCTGTCTCTAGACATCTCTAACAACTTCCAACAGAATTATTTTCAGCTCTAAACCTAATTCCCTAAGCAGTATCCAGCTGTACCTGGTAAATGATCTCTGAGCAGTTCTTCGGCCTTGGCACGGGGCGATACCGAGGAATTCACAGGAGCGTTGCTTTCTGCTTAGATGTGCCAAATGCAGGATAAATGTCAACAGGTCACCCTACTAAAATCTTTCTGGGTTCACACTGGGATCAAACATCATTAATTCCGACTGGTGGCGAATCAGCGACACTACAGCTAAGCGGCTGTATGCTTGTTTCTAGCGGTAGCGACCCTGCTCAGGGAACAAAACCTGGGCTCGAGCTGCAGAT